ATGTGGCTGGCGCCTTAGCCGCTTGAGCCACAGGCGCTGAGCCACCCACCAGTCTTGGGCTATGTGGCTGGTGCCATAATCACTGTGCTATGGGTACCAAGCCTGGTCAATTTATATATTTATTTATTTATTTATTTTGCAGTTTTTGACCAGAGCTGGGTTTGAACACGCCACCTCCAGCACATGGGGCTGGTGCCCTACTCCTTTGAGCCACAGGCACCGCCCTAGTCAATTTATTTTTTATTTTTTTGCAGTTTTTGGCCGGGGCTGGGCTTGAACCCACCACCTCCAGTATATGGGTCTGGCGCCTGACTCCTTGAGCCACAGGCACAAGCCAGTCAATTTATTTTTAAAATTACACAAGGGCCAACTGCAGTGGCTCACACCTGTAATCCCGGCACTTGGGAGGTCAAGGTGGGTGGATTGCCTGAGCTCACAAGTTTGAGACCAGCCTGAGGAAGAGCTAAACCACATCTCTAAAAAACAGCCAGGCGTTGGGGCAGGCGCCTGCAGTCCCAGCTACTTGGGAGACTGAGGGAAGAGAATCACTTAATCCCAAGAGTTTGTGGTTGTTGTGAGCTGTGATGCCACAGCACTCTACCAAGGGCAACAAAGTGAGCCTCTGTCTTAAATAAATAAATAAAAATTACACAACATTTTCTTTTTCTTTTTTTTTTGGTTGTAGCTGTCATTGTTGTTTGGCACGCCTGGACTGGGTTCGAACCTGCCAGCTCAGGTGTATGTAGCTGGCGCACTTGCTGCTGAGGTACAGGCGCAGAGCCACAACAGCACTTTTCAAAGTGCTCTCTGATTTATGCTCTCATTCGAACGTGACACTAGCCTAATCTGAGAAGCTAAGAATGTGATAGATGATAACATCAGCACCTCCATTTTGCAGATGAAAAAACTGAGGCAGAGTCCAGCTAAGGGACTCATTCAAGCCATACAAATCTCTAAATTTCAGACTAATCTACCTTCACAGGCCTACACACTGATTCCAAGACTAAAGTAGAGATGGTTATTTGCAAGTGTCCCAGAATAGTACCAAAAGTAGGATTAAAACAAAACAAAAATGCCTGGGTCAGGAGAAATTAGGCTCCCCGGACTATAGTCACTGATCCACCCACATTATAGGACCTGGGCAAGACTCTGAACCCCAAAGTCTTCATTTCCCACCTCCCTGGCTGTTCTGCAGGTAAAAGAAAGCTGGGGAAGGTGACTAGATGACCATAAGACCTGGCCCCAATAGCACTGAAAAGTGTGTAAAAGTCCAAGGTCAGCAAGAAGGAAAGAACAAAAAGGAAGTCAAAGAACTGTGTGTGTTTTGGGGGGAGGGGAGATTGCTCTGAGTGAAGGGGATTTTCCTCGCGTATAATGTAACAGGCAAGATCAAGGTGACGCAGGGGCTGGGCTACACCTGCATGTGGATGTCAGGAAGGAGATGGTTAAAGATTTTGACATGAGAGGCTAAGTGTTTAAAAAAAAAAAA